GGTCTCTTTGTGCGACAGCACTCCCCAGGACCCTACCATTAAGTGTATAAATCCTGCCCTGATTTGCCTTTCCAAAATGCAACACCTCACATTTTTCTGTAAATAAATAAATACAGGATAGTAGTCTAGTCACATTTTGCAAATACTTTGGTAGTTCAAACCCTGAAACTTGAGATGTGGGTTTAAACAGCAGAAAGAATCTACTCCAAACAATGTTATCAGTTATCCTGTAATTCTGCAACTTAATACTGAGTCACCACTATAACTTGTGGACGTGAGCTTTTTGGCCTGACACAGAAATCGTCACACAATAAATCCTTTGAACAACAGGAAGTTGACTAATCATGCTACACCTGTTTTAACAAATGCTCAACAACTTGCATTTATGTAATGCCTTTAACCTGTATAATGTGTGAAGGTGGCAACTGTGAAAAGACATGCCAAAGATCATTCATCTCTTCTAAGCAGAAGTAGAACTGATAAATCTCCCTTGAAACACTGTAAAGACCATGCAATGCCTTTCATTGTTAGGGCAGAAGAGTCTCTCTAATGGGTCTTCATTAAGTCATTCATAACCAACAGTATTCATGGTTCATGAGGCATAATGCTTGTTCCTATCTGCTTTCTCAAGTTACAGACTGTTTTAAGTGTTATGTCATCACAGTGATCCTACGCTCAACAACACAATATAATGGAAAAGAGCCAAACTGAGGCTAAGTATCTCTAGTGTTCTTCCTACTGGGTGCTTCATGTACTTAAACCTGCTCTCAGTGGCCAAGGTATTCACACAATCCCTATTAATCCACTCAGGGGCCGGTTATCTTCGTTGACTGTACGGCTGATTTGCAACGTCAGCCGAGATTACAATAAAGGACACTCTTTCCCAATCTCTCCGCTTGCCTGAGGGATGGAGACCCTCAGGTTAAACCGCCAACAGTTGTCTCTCACTAATGAGAGAGCCCTATGGTCTAGTGGGACTGTGGCCTTTCACCTTTATAGATGCATAATTGTCTCTGTTGAGGAAATTTGGGCATGTTGGGCCAGCTTTGGAAGATGCAGGAGGCTGCTTTTTCCAGCAGAACCTTGACAGACCCCTACAATCGGGAACAAATGGGGGAGTGATTAAGCCCACACTTGTGGCAGTGACACTGACTCAGAAGTCTTCTGGGGGATAGCCTCCTAATGGGCTGTCACACTTACCATCCAATAAGGCCAGTTGATAGGCTCTCCATACTGTCAGTCTAACCCCCAAAGGTCTCGGGTCAGAGACCGTGAGGATGCCTCAACATGGAGGCACCCTCAGAAGTATAAGCTAAATAATAAGGGGCAAAGTTGGCAAATTCCGCAGAACAGAACGGAGACCCCTCCAGAAAAATCATTTATCCCTCAGTGGGGTGAGGATTTGGGGCAGCCTTTCCTACCTCCTGCCCCGTCATGGAGGAAATTAACCAGGCCGCAAATCTGTCCATGTGTGTGCTTCACCACATTAAATGGCTTACCCACCTCTGAACAGTGGGCAGCTGTTCTGCGCACCAGTCTTCCCTCTGCAGACATCCCTGATGGTGAGAATGTATCAGGGATCCTTACTGAAGCAACTTTTCACTACTGTCACAGGTCTCCTGCTTTCAAGAACCAAAGAAATTCCTGTGATCTCCTTCCCCACCCGCTCCCAATCACCGAATCCCTTCTCAGAGGGACTGTAGAATATAATAGAATGCTCTTGTAGAAAATAATAGCTAGCGTGGACTGGTCAAGCTGCTCACTCTTCCAGCATACCCTCCTGCTTTGTATCAACAGCAGCAACAGAACTCAGCTTATGGCTCAGTCACCAACACCTTACCAAGCTTCACAGTCAATATTTGTTTCAAATTCTTCTCAAACTTTTCACGGCTAAAATTCCAAAGCTCTTTCTGCATACACCAGCCGAAACTGGACCGGAAGTGCAGCTGAAGGATCAGAAATAGGCCAGGGCTTTCCACCCTTTTAACACTGAATTCAACAACTTTAGATTTCTACCACTGTTTCCACTTTCTGTCAGCAGCAAGTGCTGGTAATAGTACATGGCTCTACCAGAGTGACTGTAGGGTGAAGGAGGTGTGGGCTGCTGCTTATGCTGGAGTGCTCCTACAGTGATACTGGGATTCAAGGCCCAAAATCCACCCTCCCCCCCACCCAAACCCAGGGTCTTTGCACCTTCCTCCATCACATTCCGAGGCTGTGGGGCATTCCCCTCTGTCAGATTTTCCTTCCCCATCAGCTCTTCAACTGTAAACATTTTGTCTTTATTGTCAACTGTCCCTCAATTTGATAAAGACATTCCTCAAGGTCACGAGGCGCTGTCATGGTTATTTAAGCGACTGACCTGCTAATTCTTAACCTCTTTCAGCACAATCTGACAGCCCCAAGCAGAGTCTGGGTTGGTATTGGAGGCTGCCCTTAACTTACTGTCTCACAAAGGCTATCCCTCTTGACTTGACTGACAGTTATTGATAACAAGAGAGTTGCAAAGACTCTTACTGTTCTAAACTGTAGCAGACAAAAGCTTAGCCTGTGCTATCTTTCCTCATAAGGCAGCCCATCCATTCCAGGTATTACTTTGGTAAACTTTCTCTCAAGTGCTACCACACATCTATATAATTCCATAAATAAGGTGACCAATGCTGCACAAAGTATTTTAAACGTAGTTTCCCCAGTGCCCTAAGTGAAGTATAACTTCCCTACCTGTGTATTCAATCCCCTCACAAAACACGATTAAGATTCTATTCTCTTTCCCAATTAGTTGCTGTAACTGCATATTAACCTTTTATGATTCATGCATTAGGACACCCAATTTCCTCTACATCTCAGACCTCTGCAATCTCTCACTATGTTTATAGCACACATTTTTTTCATTCTTCCTGCCAAAATGGACAATTTCATATTTTCTCACATTATGCTCCATTTGCCAGATCTTTGCTCACTTGCATAACTTATCCTTCTATAGTCCTTTCTTAATTCCCTTTCCTACCTATCTTTGTGTCATCAACAAATTTCTTCCTTCTGTTCATCTGGTTGTTCATATCAATTGAAAACAGCTGAGGTCCCCCTGTACTGATCCATGAAGCACACCGCTTGTAACATTTTGCCAATCTAAAAATAATCCACCTTTGCCTACTATGTTTCCCATTTGTCAGCTAGTTTTCTATCTATGTTAATATGTTATCTATAATACCATGAGCTCTTATTTACCGCAAACCCCTCTTTTGTAGCATTTTATCAAATTTTATCCATTTTAATGAAAATAAAGTATGCAGAATCTTGAGCTTTATAAGTCAAATATGAGTTTTAAAAAAAAAATCAATTCTTGTCTCCTCAGCATAACAGGCCCAATTTTAGGCACCACACTTTCCACTTAGCATATGAAGGTTTTGGGGAGGTTACAAAAGGGATTTACTAAGATACTCCAGGGAATGAGGGATCAAATTATGGAGCATCTGAAGTTGCTCTACTTAGCAACAAGGTCAGGATTTGATGAAGATGTTTAAAATGTTAAAGGGTTTAGATACAGTTTAAAAAAAAAACACAATGCTGAAGCTCTGTTATCTACAGGACACAGATTTAAGATTCTTTGCAAAAGGACCAGAAATGACATAAAAGGATTTTGTTATGTAATGACAGGTTAAGATTTAGAATGTACAGTCTGACAAGTTGGTTGACACGGATTCAACAGGAGCTTTCAAAAGGGGGTTGAATAATTTGAAGCAGAAACATTTTTAGGGATGTGGGAAAAGCGCAGGAGAGTATGACTAGCTTCAATTGTTTCTTTAAAATGCCAGCAACACCCAATAAGTTAAATGGCCTCCTTCTGCGCTATACTATTCTAGATTTCTAAGATAAATCACTAATATTCTTCACCTTTCACAGACCCATTCTATTATTCCCTGCCTCCGTATATACTTAAAGACCATGCATTTCGATCCTCATGCACTTCAGGTGAAACATCATCAACTTGAACCCTTTTTTTTGTTTCTCTTTGCCCCAAGTGTTTCTAACATTTCCTGTCATTTGTTTGAGATATAAGAAGTCCATGACTTGTGCAGCCAGTATCTGGAGAAGCTTTGTAAGGAGTGGTATGCATGTCAGAGGGGACGCACATGGTGAGAACAATCAGAGACCTGCTGAAACCTCAAACACCAATATTCCAAGAGAGAAAAGATACCCTGAGATTGTTGCAAGAGAAGTTCATCTTATAAAGAAATGGAATTGCAGAAAATAATGTTTCTATAATGCAGGTACAAGTGAGGGCAGACATGTTTCCTTTGGTAGGAAGGTGGGAGATAGGGATGAGGGATCAAGGAGGTGCCCAGGTTCCAGCAGCTGACAGGTAACTAAGATGCATCGACGGTCGCGTGGCAGCAATGAGTGCCAAACAAATGTGGTGCCATCTCAGCGACCCAGCAACAAGGCACCAGCAGGCAAGATCCTAGTGTAAATGCTGGAATAATGAGCTACGCACTTGAACAGCCTCAGAGCATATTGTAAAGACTGGAGCAAAACGTGGAACAGTGCAAAAAGGCAAGCACCCTTTCCTCTCTAAATTAAGGCTGCAACTGATAACTCCTCATCAATCACCATAATGCGCAAATGATGACTGCACTTTCAATGCAGAGAAGAGGCCCAAGGCAATTCGAAGGAAAGAAAAACAAGTCAATGATGAGGGTGGGGTGAAAAAAAATTGTTAGCGAATTGTGAGCCTTAAGAAAGCATTAGAAGAAGATGTAGGATGTTGGAAGAGCGCTGGAACAAATTGCTGAAGGTGTAATCACCAATGGTGGCTATGAGAGAACTGGAGCAGTGGAATGGTACAATGGAATGGGAGTGAGAGTGGGGATGTAATTTCCAGAGATAGGGACAACAGGACCTCAGCAGACAGACAATTCCTGAATCAATCCCTCATTCCAGCACTTTAAAGAAAAACAGTAGAGCTTACTCGCTCTCTCTGTTTCAACGGATTAGCTTTACCTCCACAACAAAATAGTGGGCTCCTACTGCAGCTTCAAACACAAAATATTGTTTGGATAAAACAAAGAGGTTTTTCCATGGCATTAAACCTTCACTGGCTTTCTGAATATACTGGAGTCCTTACCTTGTTCAGCCATTTCAAACCAGGTATTTTATTTGAATTTATTTGTTCTTCTAGCCATGGACGCATGCGCATTCTCTCCACTGGCATCGCCACCTACAATAAAACGGAAAGCAGGAGAGGTGCTCAGTACTTAAACAGTGCTAAAAGCATCAGCTGTAAAGCATCAGTCTTCGTGATAAAGGGGAAAACTGAAGCAACATAAGGGAGATTGTTCTTTGCCCTACAAATCAATGGGAATCCACGAGTACAGTGGGTGCAAGGAGGGGATTTGACAGTAGGGCCCAGTGTTTCATAAGTGAATTCATTAATACGTTTTGATCCTTTCCAAAGACTGATGTGGTTTTTTTTATATGACAGGAAGAGTTAGATTCATTTCAGAAGATCTATTTCCTGACCATTGCCATGATTCATGTGGAATCAACAATCCAAAAGAACAAAACTTACCAAGCAACCCTGATGAGAAAAACTAATGGACAAGATTAAATTTTTAGACCTTTTCAAGTTAACCTGTTCAGACATGTTGTGACACATCTATGGAACAGATAGGATTTGAACCCAGCCTTTCCAGCTCCGAGGTATGGACACAACCATTGTGCCACAACATTGTGCCTCCAAGATTTCATTTTTTATAACTTTTACTCAAAGAATCAAACCAAAATCAATGTAAATTAACTACAGATTAACAGGCAAATTATATTCAATATAAACGATGGATTATAGAATAACTGATTTAAAAAGCTGATATAAAGATAGATATGATGTTTTGGTGATAAAAATCTTGAGTTTGCTGAAAAAAGGCATAAAATCAAAGCTTTTTGTCTTGCGCTCATCAGGACAATTTGCATGAAATACCAAAGGGGAAAAGTAATTTTTTTTTTATTCTATGAGAAGGGAGTGCTGAGTGGTGAATAGATGAAAACTGACAGTTAACTGCCACAGTTTGTTCAAATCTAAACCAGGGTTGCCTCTGATTGGTCAAGGGACAGGGACTGCCCTGAGAAGTGAACCAGAGAATACCTGTCACCTGTTTGTTGCGTTGAAAAACAAATAAGTGTACATGTCCATTTTGCTTTACACAACAAGACCATTGGCAGTTGCTGAGGGTCACACTAAAACTTTTTTTTAAAAATTCACTCACAAGATATGGGTGTTGCTGGTTGGGCCAGCATTTACTACCAATCCCCAGCTACTCGAGAAGTGGTGATGAGTTGCTTTCTTGAACTGATGTAGTCATATGCTGCTGGGAGTAGAACCACAAAGCCGTTAGGGAGTGGGTTCCAGGACTTTGACCCAGTGACAGTGAAGAATTAACAATATATTTCCAAGTCAGGGTAGTATGTGATTTGGATGGTAATTTGCAGTTGGTGGTGTTCCCATGTATCTACTGTCCCTGTACTTCAACATGGTAATGGTTATGGATTTGGAAGGTGCTGTCTAAGGACCTTTGCTGAATTTCTGCAGATGAGCAGATATATCTTGCAGATGAGCAGACTGCTGCAATTAGTGTCGGTGGTGGCGGGAGTGATGTTTGTGGATTTGGTGCCAATCAAGTGGGCTGATGTGACACGGATGTTCCAAGCTTCTTGAGTGTTGCTGGAGCTGCAGCCAATCAGGCAAATGGGGAGTATTCCAGCACACTCCTTGTAGATGATGGATAGGCTTTGGGGAATCAGGAGGTGAGTTACATGCTGCAGGATTCCTGGCTTCTGACCCGCTCGTGGCCCCAGTATTTCATGGCTAGACAAGTTCAGTTTTGACTCAGTGACACTGAAGGAACTGAAGCCAAAGGACAACAGCTTCTGGGTCCTAAGGGCCAATAGTCAGGGCTGAGGTATTTTTTCCCTTCTTCTCATGAGGTAAGAGATGTGGTGAGAGGGGCTCCAGTGGCTCAGAAGAAGGGTAGGGGAATGGCATTCACCTCCAACTGAGGGTCCTGGTAGCCAACCTCCACCTCCAAGCATTATTGACAGGCAGGGCACACTGGTTTCCCGGTCAAGATACTATCCACCTCTTTCACCTGCCAGGGAAGTAGGAAACTGGGGAGGTGGAAGGTTGAGGTCCTTAAGTAGCCATTAATCAGCCAGTGAAGTGAAGAAAGTCACCCATGGATCTTCTCCCCCAGTACTTAATTGCAGAGGTGGCAAGAAGAGGGTGGGATTATCTCCAGGGCAAACTCACGCTCAATTATTTCCCCTTCTCACCACCTTCAGGAAGGGGCCAATTCTACCCTAGGTCTCCTAGATTTACTTTATCCAAATTCTATGGATATATTCAACAACAAAACACCACTATTCAGTATCACTTATCTAGCTCAGCTCACAACAGTCCTGATGGTGGACATTTCCCAGAATCAACTTCATCTAACCAATCAATAACACCTCAGTACACTGTATGGCCAAATCTACAGAAACAACAGCAATATTTTACCTTCCCCACTGCTGAACCCCCAAATGCAGGTTCCATTGTTCTTCAGCTGTCTTATAGGCATGGCTCCTCACAACCTGCCTGATTTCACTACCTGATAAAATCTGATCGAGGGGGCTTCCCTCCAATCAGCTCCTGTTTCTTTAGCAATCTGAAATCACAGCCTGATTTCCCAGAAGTCCGACGTCACAGTCAGGAATTCAAAATAGGCAACCCTTTGCACAGATCACAAGTTATAAATTAAACTTCAAATTATACACTAAACCTAAAATATATGTCTACAAGAGCTATAAATACGGCTGCTGAAAAAAAGTGGAATGGAGGAGGTTAGATATGCCTTGAATGTTGACAGACTTTGCAAACAGCTCCTGTTCCATATTTTACTTGTTGAACATAAATTCATTTCACTTTAAATTTTTAAGTTGCTCCGTAATCCTTGAGTGGACATGCATGAGAGGAGGACATTTGCCCGTCATTAATTCCTATGGATAAGAAGAAACTTCCACCCATGTTTGGGACGAGTCAGGAATATCGTCACATTTAAGCTTGTTTTGAAGCCTATTTTGAAATAACAGCTTCTTCCCCTATCCTGGAAATTGTGAGCAGCACAATTCCTGACTGACTTTCATGGCAACACTCAGTCGCAGAAAAACAAGTACATAAAGTAGGCCACTTCTATTCCCCTGAGCGCAGGCACCCAAGCTATGCTCTTGCATCCTATTTTTCTTATTTCGGATAATGACTAGCTCAAACATTTGAAGCATTTCCTACTTTTGTTTCATATTTCAAACATTGAGTTTTCCTGATATTTCCCCACTTGCAGCAAAATTACAAATTTATTCTGTAGATGCAGACAATGCAGAGTACAATCTGCTGAGGTACGCTCGGATAAAATTTTCAGAAATCAAGACCAATTTTCATCATCAGTTCACTTGAGTGACGTGACCTATGACAGTCAAACACTAATTTGGCGTCAGTAATTTTTATTCCACGTCAAAGCTTTTCTGTCTTTTATCACTCAAGTAACCAGATTAGGACGACAAAGACAGAGACCAAAGTTGGGTTTGCTTATAAAATAATTCAACAGGTTGTTTAAATTTAGCCTTAAAATCAACCTTTATCAGATTACCATGGAAATTAATCTGTGATTTTACAAGTCGATATTTCCATTTTCATTTACAAAAGGAAGACTAAAATGTACAGGTGTATAATCATAAGCTAATTGAAAGCCACAATTATAGCTTATTTGTGCTTCTAAAGTCACAGGGACTTAGGGAGTACTAAAACAAATTAGATCAGAGATGTTGGTCTCTGGAGATTGAAACAGAAGGGTCTATGTTAAAATAAAAACCACTCAAAGCTAAAAAATCATACAAAACAACCAGCCTTAGGGTGCAGAACAACATCTAACCATAAGGTATTTACTGTGCTACCTAAACCATAAGCTCGCTCTATTTTTATTTATTTTCATTTGTTATCTCATCACCAAAAAAGAAGCTAAATACATTATTCAATGAAGTGGAAACTGACTAGTCTTCACAGTGATAACTTGAAAAGTTCCAAATAAATTCAATTTGGGTGAGGGAAGGGATAGCTGGCTCAATGGGGCATCCTTCTAGGAAGGTATTTCTGTTCTTCAATGAAACACATCTTTGCTGACAGTTGTAAAATATCTCCTTAAATGTCTGTCACTGCCTCTCTGGTGTTTTATGTTTCAACTTACTATGGGAAAGTATTAGTCTAATTGTAATGTTACAGGGCTAGTAATCCAGATTAATTTGCTGGGGACAAGGATATGAAACCCATCATGGCAGAAAATGAACTTTGAATTCCAATAAATTTTTTAAAAAATCTTAGCTTAAAAGATATTCTAGTGACGACCATGTAACCATTGACATAAAAGCTAATCTGGGGGTTCATTAATGCCCTTTAGGGAAGGAAATCTACCATCCTTACATAGTCTGGTCTCCATGTGAATCCAGCCCCACACCAATATTGTTGATTCTTTACTGCCCTAGCCAGCAACAGTTCAAGGGTAATTTGAGATGGTAATAAATGCTAGCCTAGCCCGTGATGTCAACACCCCATGAGTGAATAAAATAAAAATTCCACTATACACAAATGTCTTAATTTCTTGCTCGTGCCTTTATCAGTCCTGGGTACAGACCATGAGCTCAATCCTCAGCCTACTTTTGCCAATTTGATTTGTTCAATCTATATGAAAATTAAAATCTCCCTCAAGTGTTGCAAATACATTTCTTAAAGGCTGCCATTATTTCCTGAGCTGTGTCCTTTCCTACAGTGTAGCATTGTCAGGGGGCCTATAGACCACTTCCACTAATGGCTTTGTCCCTTTGTTACTTCTCATTTCCACTGAACCCAATTTTACATTTTCATTATCCAAAGCAAGATCATTTCTCACTTCTGTACTGATCTCATGCTTTCTATACATCTAGTTCCGCTGAAGCACTTCGCAGATGGGCTTATCATTAATGCTTGACTGAGCTCCAAGATACAGCAGCACATTATCTCAGCAGAAACCTTAAGTATTTGCTTGACTGGCAGTTTTTCGGGGTTATAATAAATTATCCTTTCAATGATCTTTTTTGTCCAAGGTTAAAAGTGGGTAAAGCTATCTTTTCTGTTGATATAATGGTCTTGTGAGATTG